TGTTGCAAGCGGCTGTTCGTTTGGCCGATTGGCTTTTCTTTGATTCTTAATTTTTTTCTTCTTTTTAGATTTGAATGAGATATTTTTTTTCCCTAAAGGTAGATTTATTTTGTGTGCTTTTGCTGCGTCGTTTCGGAATCCAGGCAGGGAGACAGACAGCGATGAAGAAAGGTATACAGAAAGAAAAGGGAGGGTAGAAGAGAGCGAGAATCACTGGTGTGGAAATTGAGAAGGTATGGGGGGGGTAGGCGGAAAGGGTGGGGAGGGGGGGAGACGAGTTAAAAGGACGGACGAGGGTTTAGAGGCAATGGTGGAGGGGGGGGGGTGTTGCCCTGCACGTGGCTTCTCTGCGTGCGTGATATGTCGTCTTGAAATTGCGTGTAATTTGTAAAGGGTTGTGTGAATAATTCAGGATTGTGCGAATAATGAGTGGGGTTGTTTGAGTGATATAATTTCCGGGGTAGGTGAGGTTGGAGAAAAAAAATAAGTCGTGGTGCGTGAGTTCTTGTTATTCATTTTTGAGCTTGAATAACGCTGCAAGGTTGCGTGAGGTTGAGCGGCGAACGAGGACAGAGCATGCGCGGCGAGAGGGAGCAGCGAAGCAGATCTGGTGGTTCGCGCGCTGACACCTGATCCCTGCGCCTGCTTGTTCACCCTCGATTAGTGAGGGAAAGCGGTCCGCGCTGGCAGGTACAGAGCAGGACTAGCAAGCAGACCCGGGGTAAGCAGGAGGGGGAGGGGAAGGGTGAGAGACAGGCGGAGGAGGAGGAGGGGGAGGGGGGAAGGGAGAGAGACAGACGCAAGGGAGGGAGGAGGAGGGAAAGGGAGAGACATACACACACAATGGAGGGAGAAGGAGGGGAAGGGAGAGAGACACGAGAGGGAGAGGTGTTATTGGGTCGGATTGCCGAGCGCCTCGTTGCTTGTTCGTTTCTGCTGCTGGAGTAGGCTGTCGGCTGGCGGGTTGTATGGGGGTTTGGTAGGTAGTTTCTGTCTATTAGCTTGTCTGTCTGTCTGCTTATCTACAGTAAAGCGCTCAGACAGCCAGTTAGGCCACCATTCTGCCACACTGGCACTCGCCAATTAATTCAGCTCGTCAGTCTGCCCTTGTGTGTCTGTCAGGCGGTCAGAGGAGCCGACGAGGGGAGTGGCTGAAGGAGTGGGAGAACAGACAGGGGAATAGAGCGCAGGAACGCTTTGGGGGGGGGGGGGGGGGAGTGGGAGAGGGCAGCAGAAGGTAGGAGAGAGATGGGAGGGGAAAGGGGATAAGGGAGAGAGAGGGAGTACAAGATGGGGAGGGGAAGGGGAGGAGGGGGGGGGGGGGGGATTAGAAGTTAAGTTTGCACGTGGGGATAATCATGTCACTTAAAAGAAGGGAGGAGGAGGAGGGGAAATTTGTCGTTGGAAGTGAGGGGATGCATCCATTCACGGCTTCATTTGCGGCGTTTATGCGTTTGTTTCGTCGTGTTAGTTTTAAAAGGGAAGCGGGTAAAGAGGTAAAGGGAAGGTCGGATGAGGGAGAGGGAGGGGCAGAGGAAAAGGAAGAGGAAATGTGGGAGAGAGGTAGGGGGAGGAGAGAAAGAGGGACAGAGAGAAAGAGGGACAGAGAGAAAGAGGGACAGAGAGAAAGAGGGACAGAGAGAAAGAGGGAGAGAAGGACGGGAAACGGAAAAGGACAAAGCGCGTCCGAGCATTGGCTGAGCGGTGCCCGGCATTTCGCGGGATTCCGACAAGCCTCCGCGCTGCGTGGCGGCGGCGGCCGAAGGGAAGGAATGCGAGGTGCGTCGCCGGGCCCACGAACGCATTTTTGTTTTCCTTTTTGTCTTTCCTTTCTTGAGGTTGATGAGCGTGTGGCGAGGGACGGCGAGTGCGAGAATGACTGGGGTATAATAGTGGTTTGATTTTGTGGTGAAGAAACGATGGTTGGAGGAGGTTTAAATGAAAGAGCCTGCGGTCTCTGGGATAGGAGGGGTTGGGGGAGACTAAGGAGGGATAGGGGAGGGGAGACTGGTACGGGGAAGGTTGTCACAAGTGATCAGATGTCGCCTCTTTGTTTCCGGTCTGACCCGTTTCCATTACGTGTTTGGAGCGAAGGTGTGCTGCCTTGTCGTCAGTCACGGGTGACGGACGACCAGTGACGACTCTGCCCTGCATCCGCAGACCTGCGACCCAGTGGCTATCTACGTCCTTCTCTCCCCCCTTTCCTACTCTCCCTTTTCCTCTCGCCTTCTCGTGCTCCCTTGTTCCTCCCTCGAAGAGGCGTGCCCGGAGGGAGGGTCCTCCCCCCGCGCAGAGTGTATGGGCATGCGCTGCGCCGCCGCGTGCCCGCCTGCGTGTGTGCGTGTGTTTCTGTGAGCACGGAAGAGGGAAGATCTGGTGCGGCTTCAGTTCCAGCCTCGCGCCGGGGAAGGCGTCTGCTGGCGGCGGGGCGGCGCTCCCTTCCCACGTGCATCCTGGCGCTGCTCCGGTTCGACCCTTTTTTGCCGCCGTGTGTGTGAACATGTCCGTTGCCGGCGACGGGCAGGTGGGCGCCTGGGCTTACCTGCTGCTCTCGGGGGCTTCTTGCGAGTGAGGCGCTATTGTCCTCCCCCCCCCTCCCGTTTGCAAATCAGGACGCCAAACATCGCTTGGTTTGCCGCGACCTGCGAGCAGCGCCGCCACTCTGCTGTTGCCGCTACCTGTTGCCGGTGCGTCAGCAACCCGTCCGTCAGGTCCTGCGAGTGCCGTGCGGTTGTCATACTTCTCTCGATCATTCCCTCACACCTCTTACGCCGAGGAGGACCGCGGGCGACGCATTTCCTGGAAAAATAGTGAGATAGATACACAAGACAATACATCCGTTCTCCGAAAATATTGCGAGTGCAGTGTGCGTGATTTGTGTGAGAGGTATATCCTTATATTGTGTTCGGGGAGTGGCCATGGTGAGGGGCGCCCTCCTGCGGCAGTGACCAGCCTCGTGTCCTTGAGTCCTTGTGTCCCGAAGAACGAACGACGAACATGCTGGACTACTTCCGACACCGGCGCTGGTCCCACGTGGATTTCGCGTCGCCGAGGATCACGGACAACCTCGCCACCTCTACCTTCAGGACCACTCCGCACGTCGCCGACGCGTCCGCGTCCGTCTCCACCTCCACCACCGCCCCCGCTTCTATTTCCACTTCAACTTCCACCTCCACTTTTGCGCCCGCTTGCACTTCCACTACCACTTCCACTTCCACTTCCACTTCCACTTCCATTTCCACTTCCATATCCACTAACCACATCCCTAACGCGAGTTCGCCCACTACTCCTGCTCCCACTGCCCTTCCCAGCGCCAACGCTTCCCTCTCCTCCTTACCCTCGAAGCCCCTTCACAAGGCCACTACAATCATCACCACCACCACCGCCGTCGGGTCCAGCTCCGGCACCGTCACCACCATCATCATCACCGCCACCACCACACATCCCCTGACTGCTGCCACCGCCACAAGCACGTCCACGACATGTCCGATCATCACACGCCACATCAAGACCACCATAATTCCCAAAATAGCCACAGACCCGATTCCCACGACCACAGCATCGGCCACAGCATCGGCCACAACATCAGCCACATCAACAAGTTCCCTCAACACCAGAGTCACGTCCCTTTCCGTAGCCACACGCCCTGCCACGCGTGCCAATAACACAGACACGTCCCTTGCCACGTACTCTAGTCCCGCATCCAAATCACCCGCCATGCACCTTCCTACTACGGCTTCACGCTCTGCCGCCATATTTCCTCCCCCCGCATCTCCTCTCCCGTCTTCAGGGATGGCAGAAGCGTTTCCCAGTGCCAGTGACACGCTTTCGCCCTCTGTCACGACCGGAGCCAAAGCTATAGGTCCTGGCATCACGGCGCCATGTTCCACTACGCCGGCCACTCAGAATGGCACCAGGAGCAAAACTGTGACAGCTATTTCCATACCGACTGTCACTACTACAAGACTACCATCTTACCCAAGCACGATTTTTCGGCCAAATAACGCAACATTAAGCCTGACCACAAATTATCACAACACCACTACCAGTAACTCGCATCCGGGGATCACTGCCACGGTCCCTGGCACTGACACGACTCGCCCTGGTGCCATCACCACTCACTGCGACACAAAAACCGTGCCAGTTCCTGCGTGCGAGGCCGGCGCCGGGTCCCCGCTCTCCATCGCCGTCTGCCAAAGCACCGCCGACACTCCCGTGAGGGCTGCTCCACGCCCTTGGACCTCCATCATCTGCCAGGGCACGCCCGCCGGTCGCAGAACTGCCGGTACCTGTGGCAGTGCTACGACCGTATGCCAGGCCGTCACTATGCCCCCTGCCACTACCACCGTCACTACCACCTTCAGCCAGATCGGTCCTAACACACTGAGTGGTATGGCGAAGGCGTACCCAACTGCTGTCACGTCTCCTTTGTCAAGTAAGGTCGGTAAAACTGTCACGAATCCGACTAAATCTCTTTGGCCAACAGTCACCGCAACTCCTGCTACGAGCTCAAGTCTCATTGTTACTGGTCCAGCGACTTCTCTATGCCCGAGGACCCATGCCATGACCTCAGCTCCTTCCGGGCACCAGAGTGCCACGAACGCAAGTTCAGCTCGCTCTCCAACTACCTCCGTGTATCCTCGGGAGAGTGCCGCTGGGACAGTGCCTGCTACACGCACTTGCGCCATAGATACGTGTTTGCTCACCACGTCCGCAAGTCATGATGCTAAAAATGCACGTGCATACATCACCACCGATACCACATCATTAGGTGCATCAGCCACCATAGATGCCACATGCCATGCCACCACAACATCACCTGCTACCATTGCCACATCCCCTACCACCATCACATCCCTTGCCGCGTCTGCCACCTCTACCCCATCTCATGACACCACTACCTCGTCTGTCTCTACCCCATCGCCTGCCACCACTGCCCCATCTGCCTCTATCCCATCTCCTGCCACCATTACCTCGTCTATCTCTACCCCATCGCCTGCCACCACTGCCCCATCTGCCTCTATCCCATCTCCTGCCACCACTACCTCGTCTGTCTCTACCCCATCTCCTGTCACCACTACCCCATCTGCCTCTACCCCATCTCCTGCCACCACTACCTCGTCTGTCTCTACCCCATCCCCTGCCACCACTACCCCACCTGCCACCCCTGTCATCACAACAACAAACCGAAACGGTGCCACTACAAATCCTGCCCCGAGATCCGCATACCCCTTCGCCCCTGCAACTCGCCCAAGCTCCCTTGGCACGTACCCGATCGTGACCATCAGGCGCTCGACGACGATCGCTGCGTGCCCTATCTCCACCGTCAGCCGCCCGGGCACGTCGGCCTCGTCCTATTCAGCTGGCAGTACCGGCACGAGTACTTCCGCCAGTACCAACAGCAGCGCGACCACCACGCCGTCGCCCAGGGTACCACGACACTCCATTTCGATGCCCGAGTTCAGGACGGCCAAAAAGGTGAGCGGAGGGAGCGAGAGGGAGTTGGCAAGGGGGGGAAGGACGTGACATTAGGTATTCTGTTGAGGCGAATTGCTGGCTTGGGTTTTAGGTGATATTGTTTAGTTCGTTTATTCGTTGGTAGTGAAATAGGTGTTAAGTTTGACCAATAGATTCCACAAAAAAGTGAGAGAAATTGCATGAGAGGTAAGAGTCGGATTTAGCGACTTTTAAATACATCGGCGGACGTCGAACGCACGTCGGGAGGAGTGGAAGTTCCGTCGTGTTCGTCGGAATCCCCCTCCCCCCTCCCCTCACCCCCATTAACCCTTCTCTTCCCTTGCCAAGGATTCTAAGTTGGGACAGGTCTAAGAGGAAGAAAAAAAAGGGGGAAGAGAAGAGAAGACGAGGATGGGAAGGGTGAGAAGTAAACGACAGGAGAAACGAAAGGAGAAAGGGAATGAGAGTGGGAAGAGAAAGAGGAATCGGAAAGGGTGGGTGACGACGACGGCTCATGCATTGTCGTCAACTTCGGGGAAAGTGAACACAATCCGACAGATAATTGCCCGGGCGTCATATTGCCTTCTCGACGGGGTTGCGGTTTGCATGTGATCGATCCTTTAGGACTGGAGAGGTATCCAGTTGCGCTGCGCTGATGTTGACACGCATCGTGCACTAACTGTGGCCTGGGTGATATATTCCGTGCTAGTTATTTTCCTGGTGATATTTACTGGTTAATCGTTGAGTGAGTGTTTGAAAGTATAAGACTGAGGGACGATAAGAGGTCGGTGTTACTGAATGGCACTGTAGTTTTGTAAGTTTTTGTGTAGCTTTATTCTTGTTTATGAGCGAGTTGAGCAAGTTATACGAGTCTGCCATTGAATCGTGAAAGAAAACGAAATATCTGCTCTTTGATAGAAAACGGTTCTTTTGGAGGGGCAACGAAACTAAAAGTGTGTTCCCATTAAAGAAAACGGTACTAGCCATAACTTAAATATTTTTATAGTTTTAAAATCTAGGTTCATGTGGGGAAAACAAAGTGTAAAACAATACATTATTTTTTTATAGTTTAGTTTTAGTTTTAAGAAATTATTCGCCGAACATATGGTCAGTCTGATGCTCATTTTTGCAGTTATGTTGTGATTCTTATACTAATATTGTTTTTTTTATTAGTATCATTCTTTTGTTACCGCGGGCGATATTGTTTTGCTGTTATTGTGATCATTATTATTAATTCCATTACTTTGGGTGTTATATTCTCGTGGTTAAGATTCACAAGATTATTACTGTCATTACTACCGTCCCGTTGCGCATTGCCGTTGATGTCACCAATCTTATAATCAGTTCCATCGGGATTTCAATGCTGTGATGATAACGTTGCATTTTTTTCAGTCATGTTGCAACAACCTCCCATTGTTTTGTATATTTTACATTGTGTTAACAATGTAAAAATACAAATGCAAAAATACAGATGCAAAGGAAATAGTGAAAGTGTGAACAACAGGAGAAGGGAATCCAGGAAGTTGATAAAAGAGGGAAAAATGAAAGAAGGCAAAATAAAATAAAGAAAAAAAACAAAGGATAACGAGAAGACGTGCACATACAATAAATAAATAAATAAATTACTGATTAAAGAACATAAACAAGACAAGTTTATTCTATAGGCGAGGCAACGAATTTAAAATCAATTTATTCATAGATCTGAAACTGAAATCTTTGTGGTTTCGAAACTTGTCTCACCTGTCGAACGATCTTTAGCTTACTTCTTTTCATTTCGTGACATCGCAATGGCAACATATTCAGAAGAAATTAGATACGATTGAATGTAAAGAAGAATAGAATCGAGACGAGAGTTAACGACAAGGGAAACAAAATATTTACTAACGCTAAAGATTAACTCGAAGCCGACGGGCATGACATGTACGGACATGCCATGCCCACTGTGAGTTTTCTTTATTAATTGTTATACACGTAGATGGCTACACTTGTACTGAGTCACCAATGAGCCAGTTATGAGCACTGACTGTCTCGCCTGTTTACCCTTTTCCTTGATTTTTAAAAATATTTTACGTTATCTTATATTGCTGCTACTAATGTCAATAACATTATAGTAATTATAATTTTATTAAAAAAAAATAACCATCAATAGTCATAGCATTAGTAAAAAAAAAAATACTAATTCACTCCTTTGTGGCTAGGCACTTGCAGAGCCATCTGTGTGCAGACATATTTCACGAAAAGAAAAAAAAATCCCGGCGACAATGAATTCTATAAGAAATAATTGTTGACGAGAAAAATGTTATTCTTTTGAAAGAGGAATTTAAACGTGATATAGACCGAAGGACAGATTTTTTTTCACTTGTTACTTAAGGGGTGGCACGAATGTTGACAATGTTGATATATTTTTATAGTTATTGCTATTATATTTGTAATTTACTTTAATTATTGTTTATATCAGAAATGGTGATCGCCATTGCCATAGCTATCCGTCCATCTGTAAGCAGTTGTTTGTTTATTTGTAGTCATTATTTGTTCATAATTTCATCCAAATCGACCCAACATCCCCCCTCCCTTCTTCCCCTCCCCCTCCCCCTTCCCCTTCTACTTGACCAACGACTTCCTACCCTCCAGAAATGTTTACTTTCTACGGCGTTTCTCTCTCTTTTTGTATTAATTTTGGTTAGAAAAATATAGCAATAATGACACTTTCGCTTTGGCTCTTTATTTCAATGCAAAAAGAAAAAAAGAAAGAGTTATCAGTGTAGTCTGAAGAGACACTGTTTTTGCTTTAATACCAAATTAGCAGAATAAATAAGCTTATTTTTGCTTTTAGTCCCCCTGGTGACGCCGGGGACAACAGCTGGGGAAACAGCCCTGGGACGCTTCGGGAGGCTTTCTTTGAACTGCTGGTATCGCTTTTTGCTTGCACTTTTCTTGTCTTCTGCGGGTGTCTTGTGATGAGAGTCGTGATGGGATGTTTGTGTTGTGTGTGTGTGTGGGGGGGGGGGCATGCGTGCATGCTAATTGGGTATTGATATACAAATGTAGATATGAAAAATGTAAATGCGCGCACGCACACAAACAAACACGTCCAGATACAGGAGAATAAAAATCTTTCGTCGAGCATGAAAGAAGACCCCGGCTATTTTTAGCAGCGGTCCATGACGTAGTTTGTGCTATCTTTATTGACACGGAGGGAGTGACGGTGCCAACAATGACTGGGGGTTGGGGGGTATGGGGGGGCAAGGAGGAGGTGGGGGGGAAGGGGGATAGAGATGTGGATACGCGGGGGAAGGAAAGGGCGGAGAAAGGGGGGGAAGGGGATTTAAGGAAGTGTTGGGGGGGAGAAGATGGAGGGAGATTGCGAAAGGGAGGGAGTGAAAGAGGAAGGTGGGGAGGGAAGGAAAGGTAGGGGAGGGATGGGAATGGGAAACCTATGCTGTTTGTACAGCTCTCAACATTGCCTTTTTCCCAGTCTGCTTATCACTTGTTCGTCACATTTCATCATATATATTTTGTTGTTTGTTTCCTCAATTTACGTCACGGGTCACGGGATTTTTTGAAATGTGAGCTCCTGGCAAGGACGACCTGTGCCGAGAGTTGCAGAGGCAGAAATAGAAATAGAAATAAAAATAGAAAACGAATTAGAAAAGCAAGAAGAAACGATAGAAGAAAAGGAGAAAGCAGAAGTAGAAGAAAGGGGAGAAGTAGTGGTGGTAGAATAGTAGAAGAAAAGGAGGGAAGTGGAGGATAGAGGGAAAGGAGGAGGACGAGGAAAGAAGGATAAAAGGCGGAGGGGAAGATGGAAAGGAGGAGGTAGAAGGAAGGATAAAGGTGGGAGGGGAAGATGGAAGGGAGAAGGAGGAAGTGAGGAAGAGGAGGAGGAGGAGGAGTAGGAGAAAGGAAGAAAAGAAGGTGGAAAGGAGTAGGAAGAAGGGAAGGAGGAGAGAAGCAGGACAGGGTGCGAGAGAGGGAGTGTAGGGAAAGGCGAGCGCCGAGAGGGTGAGAAAAAGTCGTTTGAGGTTAGAGCTTGTTGTTGGTCGGCGGGAGGTCGGTGTTATTCTAACCTTTGGTTTCTTATGCTATGATGTTATTTGAACTGATTCTTCGAGGATGGGCGAGCCGCAGGCCGGGCGGAGGCACAGGAGGAGCCCGAGCCGCCGCCGTGCATGCAGGCGCTCGGTCCTGCGGCCTCCGCGGCGACCCGCCTCGCGCGCTCCTCCCACGCATGCTCCTTTTCTCTTCCAGTTCTCATCTCCTTTTCTTTCTTTTCTCATCTGCTTGTTTCTCTCTTTTCCTTTTTCTTGTTTCTATCGTTTTCTTTGACTGTCCCTTTCTCTTTAGCACACTTTGCTTTTATCTACTGTCTACTGTTTTCATTCCTATTTTTCTCCTTTTCTCTCCTACTTTCCCTCTCTTCCTCTATGTTTATATATCTCCCTCTTACCCTCCCCGCCATTCCCCTTCCTTCTCTCCCTTTTATTCTTCCTCTCCCTCTTTCTCCCTTCCTTTCGCTCTCTTCCTCTCTTTCGTTTCTTTCCGTGTACGTCTCGGAGGCGGAACAGCAATGAGGTAAAAGAAAGGGGGGGGGGGGGACTTGGCTCTCGTTCATACATTCGTGATGTTTTCTCACTTTTTATCTTGTTTTTCTTTTCTCCTTGTTTTTTTTAATTCGTTTCCTCTTTTTCTCCTCTTTTTTTGTTGGTTAAATGTCATCAGGCTTCACTGCCTTATTCTGCCACCCCCCTCCTCCTCCTCCTCCTCCTCCTCCTCCTCCTCCTCCTCCTCCTCCTCCTCCTCCTCCTCCTCCTCCTCCTCCTCCTCCTCCTCCTCCTCTCTTCTCGCCCCTTTCTAATTTCAACTCTTTCTTTCTTTCTCTTTCTTTTTCTTTCTTTGTTCCTTTCTTTCTCTGTTCCTTTCTTTCTTTGGCATTATTATTCATCTGTCGATTAGCCTAACGTGCAAGCCGATGTTAGTAAAGAAAAAGAGAAATGAAAGAAGGAACGACGGAACCAAAGGAACGACGAGGAATAGAAGAAGAAATGGAGAAATCAAGAAGAGAGAGAGAGAGAGAAAGAGAGAGAAGAGAGAGAAAAGGGGGGGGGGGTGAGACGTACTGGCCGCTGGGCGAGTGGCAGCGACACGATTTAATCCGCGTTGGCTGATCCTTGGGTAAACGCGCCCGTTCGCTCGTTCGTCCGTTCGTCCGTTCGTCAGTTCGCTAGTTAGTTTATTCTTTGGTTCGTTCATTCGTTAGTTGGCTCGTTAATTGATTAATTTGTTAGTTCGTTAGTCCCTTTGCTTGTTTGTTTGTTTGTATGGCCTTTTGTGTCTCTATTGTGTGCCCTTGGTAATTCTTTAGGTGATGAGGAAGGAGAAGGGGAGTTGATAAATTGAGGGAGTGAGAAAGATGAAAGAGTGAGAGAAATGGTGGAGGAATGAAAGAGTGAGAAGGAGGAAGGAATGAGAGTAGGCAGAGGAGGAGGGGTGAGAGGGAGGCAAGAAGGGGGGGTAGAGCTTGGATGATGAAGACGCGAAAGTCAAAATGCTAAAGCAAACAGCGGCACAAGCCATGTCTGTCTTGTCTTTTTCCTTCTCCTTCTTCTATCTTTGCTTTGTTTACACTGAGCTGCTCCCTGGCGCGTCCCTTGGTTCGGGAGAGCGCGAGAGGATATTCTCGGGTCTCTTGGAGGGAGCGAGATTAGGGGCGGCCTTTCAAAACGGCCTTTTGTTTGGAGGAGTCGCTGCGCAGCTTGAGGTCACGCTCGAACTCCCTCTTGCTCTCCTTATTTTCACTTTTTTCACTCTTTCTCACCCTTCCTTTTCCTTTTTTCTTTTCCCTCTTTCCCCTTTTTCCTTTTTATCTTCTGTCCTTCGCCCTCTCCCTCCTTCTGTACCTCTCTTTTTCCTCCTCATCCTCATCCTCATCCTCGTCCTTATCCTCCTCTTCCTCCTCCTCCTCCTCATCATCTTCCTCATCCTCATCCTCCGCATCCTCCACCTTTCTCCACTCCCTATCTGAATTATGGAAATGAAGGTTGCTAAGAGTAGGCCTATAGATAACGGATTTTATTTTATCCGGAGACGCTGAGTCACTGGCTGAGTACGTGAGTAAAGAATCGAGGAATAAGCAAAAGAACATGGCGAGTGAGTCACTGCATTAAATCCGTTATATTATGTTGCATATTATATTGCAGCGTATGTGTTAATTCTTTCTTGAATACGTTTATATATCTTATTAATAATAATGACAGTACCAATGAGTCCGATGCTAAACTCAGTGATGCTACTAACAGTTGTGATAGCGATAACGCTAATGGAATTGATAAGAAAGGGATTATGATAATACTAGTATCAATACTAACGATGAAGTCGGAGGATAAACGAATTAGCTGGTTGATTTAGACGACGCCTTAATGGTTTTCTTCGTTTTCTCGTATTCATTCTATCCTTCATTCAATCCTTTTTCTGAAGCTGAAGAAATGAGCGCAATCACGACTGAGGCGGAGGGAGGGTCTGGGGCTGCGGCGTGGGAAGTGCTCGTGGCAGCGATCTCTGAGGGAAATTTCAGGGAAACGAAACAATTGAGTAAAAAGAGTAGGCGGGGTTTTTATTATTACGATGCTAACTGCCTACTTTGTTCTTTCTACTTTCCTTCTGCGCAGGAGATTTAAACTAGGAACAATGTACGCATGAGGATAAGTGCGAGAAAATTGCACTGCAGCGCCAGGAAATGAGTCGTTTACGCCGGGCGAGCGGGCGGTGCTGTGTTTGTTGCAGTTTGTATGCAAATGCACGTTTTTTTGCTTGTCTTTGTGTTTTGTTTGTTTGCGGGTCTATTGACTCTGGCCTTATGCAGGCATGTTGAACACGCGTGCACTCGCAAACAATCGCCTTTTTTCCCGGGGCGATGATTCTTTCCGCCATTTCCGCCTTTCTCTCTATTTTTCTCTGCCTTCTCTTTCCTTCGGTGTCCCGTCCTCCCTTCATTTCTTCATTGTCCCTCTTCTTCCTTCGTTTATTCCTATCTCGCTTCTCTTCTCTTTTATACCATCTCTCTTCTCCGATTCCTTCCCTCCTTTCTTCCTCCGCTCTTTATTCTCTCCCCCCTTCTTCCACCACCATCCACCTTTCTCCCTTCTCCTATTCCCCTTCTCCCTCCTCCACTTCCCCTTTCCTCCGTCTGCAACTAAAAGAAGCATCATCGTCCTTGCAATCCCGGACCATGTTGCAGCATCAGGAGCAACTGATTTACGCCGCTTCTTGTTGATCGAGGTTGCTGGCGGGTGGGGGAGGGGAAGGAGGAGGGGAAGGGGGGTAGGGGGAAGAAGGGGAAGGGGATCGGAGGTCTTAAGGGGGTCCTGGAGGCTGAGGGGGGAGGGGGGAGGGTCTGACGAGGGAGTTTGGGAGTAGGGGTTTGAGATGGTTGGGGTTATGGGGGGGGTCGATGCTCGCAAATTCATTATTGTATTTCATATAATTCAAGCCCCCCCCCCCCCCCCCATCAGACACCAGTGAACCCTGTACTCGTCACCATTATCATCACCGCCGCGACCATTCGTGACCATTATCACCATTATCTTAGTGTTCTCGCCTTTTATAGGTCAGTGACGTCACAGAATACCAGGAACGTCATGAAGTAGTTCTGACGTCACAGAGTAGCAATCACGCCGCCCTCACTTGGGCGCCCGGCCCCCGGTGGCAAGGTGAGTGACGTGTGTCCTCGCGGGCAGTCGGATGGGTGATTTATGCGTACAGGCGTAACGGTTGTTTGCTGACGCGCTTGAACTTTGAAATGTCGTCACCGATGGCATTTAGGCTGCCTGTTAGCTGCTGCGTGGCGCTAACGGGATCCAGCGCTTGCATAGAACGTGGACGCACCGCACGCGCACGTATATTCACACAAAAGCAAGTATTTATACAGGAAATCGCACGACCACACACGCAAACGTATGTACGCACGCGCGCACATACTGACGGACGGGCACACACATTTAAATAGTGCAACGCAACCAGGCCTGGTAATAGGGATGTGTTGCAAGAGAATGATTGCAAAAAGCTTCCAACGCGTGGCTGTTGCAGGATAGACAGGGCCCGGTCCTTACGACGAAGAACAAGCGGCATCAGAGCACTACTATCGCTAACACCATCATCACCATTTTCACGTTATTACTATCATCACCATTATGACGCCATCAACTGCATCAGTATCAATAAGAGTAGCTTCAGTATCATCATCATCATCACCATCACCCCCACCCCTATCATCATTAGGATTACCATCATCACTATCGACAGTGCCACAGACACCAGCAGTGGTTTCTACGGAGTGGGCGGGTAAGTGGCACATTAACGTGCCTGGTTTGAGCGCCATTGCAGAACGTCACCCGCTGCCGTTGAGCCGCTTTGCGCACGGGAAGCCTACGTTGCAGGTGTTGCACGGATAGTTTTATAGGGGATGATTGATACTGTTGCAGTGGAGGGGGATTATTTTTATCATATCTGGTGGAGGTGTTCATATTATCTCATCGTTATCACCATCACCGTGATCGTCACCGTCACCATCACCACCATTACCTCCATTGCCAGCATCCTCACCACCGTCACCATCACCAGGTTACAAGGTCACTGCGCTCATCTTCTCCGTACTTAGAAATCACAATGTGACACAGATTACCTTACCTCCCCCCCCCCCTTCTCCTTCCCTTACCCCCTCCTTACCCCCTCCCCCCTCCAGGTAATCCGATTCGGGTCATGAGGCCTCGAGCGCTCACTCCTCTTGCTTGACAGTTTGCAAAGGGGGGGGGGGGAGGGAAAGAGGGAGGGAGGGAGGGAGGGAGGAGGGAAGGAAGGATTGAAGGAAGACTGATTGGAAGGCAGAAAGGAGGGGGAAATGAATAAAGGTCTAAAAATAGGAGCTCAATGAAAAGAAAGTGGCGTGAGTGAGGGAGTAGATGGGCAGTAACGGAAAAAAAGGGAAATGAAGGAGTACGAGTGAAAGAACGGATAACGAATGGAGATAAAATAAGGCCCGAGAACAGGAGGGAAGGCGATCGTGAGGGAGACCCGAGGGGCGGCTGGCGTCGTGGAGGGAAGGCGGAGGAGGATGAATGGCTGGGGGGAGGACTGGGAGGGGGTGGGGGTGGGGGTGCTTACGGAATCGTGACGCGGACGCAGAAGGGCCTGGGTCGACCTGCTCCGCCGCGGCCGCGTGACCCGTAGCGAGGCCCGTCCTGGTCTCCCTTCTCGCTCCTCTCCCTTTTCTCCCTCCCCTTTCTCTTCTCCAATCTCTCGTCTTTTTCATTTCCTTCTTCTTTCCCTATTCCTTCTTTTCTCGCTTCATCCTTCTCATTTCTCCATTTCTCCTTTCTCCCGCTCCTCTCCCTTCTCCCATTCCCTCTCATTTCTTTCTTCCCTTTTTTCACCCTTGTCTTTCCTTTCTCCCTCATGTTCTTTCTTTTCTCCCGTATCCCTCTCTCTCCCCGTCTCGTCTTCTCCCTTCCCTTGCCCATTCACCCTTTTGCCACCATCTTATCATTTATT